ACCTGGAGCTGGGCTGCTGTGAGTCGTCAGCAATGGCGTAGGCTGCAGCCCCTGCTGCAGTGGGTTGCCATGGGCTACCGTGTGTGGCCGGCAGCGCAACTTGTCTGTTCCCCTTCCCCCAATTCCCCAGTGCTGTTTCCATTCCCCAATTCCCCAATAAAAAAAAAATCTTTAAAAAAAAAAAAAGAAACAGGTACAAACATAATTACAAATTACAGAAGAATACAAAATCGGGTGCCGGGCTTTGGAAGGAGCCTATTTAAATGAGGGACCTGGAAGCTTAAGTGACCTTAGCTTTATAATAAATCCACCTCTGAGAGGAGCAAAATAAGGAGTCAGAGAGGCAACAAAGTTGTCACGAGCCTGAGATGGATTAAAAGGAAAGGAGAGGACTAATGTCTTGGGAATAAATAAGGATAGTTCAACGAGGGATGGAGAAGGGCCATGAAGGAAGGAAAAAACAGTGAGGCTGGTGCCTAAGGCTTCTGTGATTGAGCAAAGTTAGCAGGTGGCAGGTGAGAGGAAGGTAGTGATAGTGTAACCAACTGCACGAAAGTTCCACAGAAGCTGAAACCATTGTGCTGTTTTCTTTTTTTACAAGTGGTGGCGTGGGAAGCAAAGACACCAAAACCTACCTCCTGACCCAGTTATGTGGGGAATGAGAAATTAAGTGCTACTGGACTAAGAAGGCCATAGGAAAGCAACCCGCTTAAGGGAAATCTGTTTGTAGTTGGGTTTTTGTAAATTTTACTTCAACAATGTCAGATAGTCTTATTTCACAATAAACTTTACCCCAATACTGCCCAAATAGTTTGCCAGCCACGCTTCTCTCACAATTAAAGGAAATATAAAATAAAAATCTTATTGCATTTAAAAATAGTCAACGTAATTGTGAATTATTTGAAAACACTGGACATATTAAGTTGTATTTGAGCTTAGTCTCCTGACACACACTGATACAAATTATAAAAATATGAATTACCTGAACACTGAAGTTGAGACAAAATTTGAGCACCTTCAAAGTCGTGGCTTGTCATCTTTAAGTTAGGTTTGATACAACGAATAAAGCTTGCTCCCTAGGAGAATAAAGGTACTTCTTAAGACAACACATATAGCACTCATATTTTTCTATTTCTATGAATATGAATACTAGCAACTTTCAGAGCATATTATGATTAACATATAAACTTCTTTTAAAATAATAACTAAGGTAATAAATGTTGAATTACTATGTTGTACTCCTGAAACTAATATTGTATACCGACTATACTTTAATAACAATATTTTTAACTTAAAAATAAACAAATGATCACTAAGGAACTTATACCTTTCTTAGCATAATTTTATAATTTAAAGCTTGAAAAAATTCTGCATTATATACTAATACATATTAGAAAAATAATACATTTTAGATTTGAGTGCCAAAAAATATTTTATTGTAAAAAAAAAGTCTTTCATTGTGAAATATTTTAACATATTTAAACAATATATTTCACAGGCTGACATACATGTGATTTTAGTCTACATTTAAGTGTATTTGTATGTTATGTTTCTGTGTTAAGAAAATTGTCCTATGACAAAAGGAGTGAATAAAATTAGGCCTCTTAAAATTTAGGACAAAGTATAAAAAAAAAGTCAATCTTTTTCTTCTACTTCAAAAATACAGAGTAGGTCCTTCAGCTGCACCATGGCACATTTTAAAGTTTTGTTTGTTAAGCAATATTTTTAAAAGCTTGAAGGCATTCTTTTGGAATCAGTTATCAGATTATGTTGTATGAGGCAGAAAGAATACATACTGGTATATACAAATGAAACTCTTGGGTACTGAACCTAATATACTAGACATTCAAGTAACTGTTTCTCTTCAAAGCAGTTACACCTTGCAAAACTTAATAGTTATTTCAACAATAATGCTCATTACAAACTCTTTTGGAACACTTTTTAAAAATGCCTTATTTTTATAAATCACAAAAGTAATCTCATCACTTTACAGTAGCACTATATTTGAGTGATAAAATACCCTCCTAGGAAATATTGCCTCTATAACAGGGCACAAAAATATTATGTCTTTTTTTCCATATCAACATTGTCATGTTGGATAACACTACTACAGTAATACAATGAAAATAAATTGCATGCATTATCTCTAATCCTAAAAAAATTTATTTTCCTTCTCCATAGTAGCTAATTATTTTCACTTTCCTCAAATTATAGGATAACCTTAATTTTATAACATTTAGAAAATTCTATTATTTATAAAATAGTTTGACTTTACATATGTATTTGACCTTTTTTCAGGACAAACCTAACCAAAATTATAACAATTTTAAAAACCAATTTTTTTTAATGAAGGAATTTGGTTTAAAGTGAATTTGTAATCATACCAGGTTTACTATGTTTATTTGAATAAGTACTAATACTAGTTTAAGAGATCCATTTAAAAACCCTATTTTTTTAAAGTGTACTCACAGTACTTCGAAGTTTATCCAGAAGCAAATTTAACTGTGTCTGTAAAAAAAATGAAATCACTTTATTTTTCAAAAAGCAAGAATATACAATGTCATCAGTTAATATTAGCTCTCCATGATTAGAATAGAATATCATGCAATAATATGGACATATAACACATTATACTTGAACAACTTCTGGAACGCAAACTCTTTAACAGACAGTAACATGCAAAATATATGGCTAATATAAAGCCAAGGGCAATAGCTTATTTTACTTACATAGAACTTATATAAATTAAGAGACTGAAAATTAGCAATGCTATAAAACATACATGCACACTTGCAGGTGAGATGAATGAGGAAAAAGTGTACAGGCAACGAAGAAAGTACATAAAAATGCTGGGGATGCATTCAATTAGAGGTCAGCATATCCTGAATATGTGGCAAGCTAGTGTAGTTTGTGTCAGACTCCATTAAGAATTAAGACATGAATATAACCAATAATATGGTAATAACTATGTTAGTGCCAGGTCAGTACTAGACTAGTCAGGGAAATCACTTCTTAAATTATACAAATGTCTAACCACATGCTGTACACCTGAAATTAATAAAAAATAATACTGAATGTCAACAGTAATTGAAAAATTAAAACAGAGGGGAAAAAGGTAAAGCGGGATAAGAGATTCAAATTTCCAGGTATAAAAATAATAAGTTTTGGGGATGTAATGTACAGCACAGGGAATGTAGTCAATATTATTGTGATAACGTGGTACAGTGCCAGATGGTTGCTGGACTTATCATGGTGATCTCTTCTTTAGATATATAAATGTTAAATAACTATGGTGTACACCTGAAAGTAATGTAACATTGTATGTTAGCTATATTTTAATAAAAATCTTAAAATGTTTTTTTAAAAATATGAAGACATGTTTAAAATATACACTAATGGTATATATTAGGATTGTTTTATATAAACACTTAGCATGAATGAAATTGTCCTGCCCAGCTGTAGAAACCCTCCTTACTATTTTAAATTATTTCACATCTCAATTATTTTTAAAAGCTTGGATAGTTTTTTCAAAAAGAAAAAAATATTGACAATGAACAGAAGTTATTATGCTTTCCTATTTTTAATAATATTAAGTGATTTTAATTTAGATTTAGTACTATATTAAACATATATTTGTTTTACTTCTCTACAAAGTAAATTATGTAAAATTCTTATATTGGTTTTATGCATATAGTAAGGTGCTTATTATACTGATAACAAAAGATAAATTTTTATTTATTAAATTAACATATTGGATCATTCATAGCAATATTTAATAATAATAAAAGGTATACTTTACTGAATGCTTTCTGTGAGTCAGCACTGTTCAAAGCTTTTCATGGGCATTATCATGTTTAATCATAACAACAAATCTAATTAAGAATATATTATTAGCTATGTTTTACAGGTGAAAGCACTGAAGCCCAGAGAGATGAATTACTTGCCTAAATTCATGAAGCTAGTCATGGCAAAGCCAAAATTTCAACATAGGGCCTAACACCGAAGTTCATTCTCTTACCCATGTCACTACAGTATACTTCAGACAGCACATGCTTAAGCTATAATCAATCACACAACTGAAAAGCAAGTATGAGAGCCACTAATTTGGAAAGAAAAAAAAAACTGTCACAAAGTCCATGCTTCTTAGTCCATAGACTAAGCACAATATTCACACACACACACACACACACACACACAAAAGGAGATAGAGGTAAATCAGAAGAGTAGAAGCAGTAAAAATAAAGTAACAGCATCTAAGACAAGAGGGAACAATGTTAAATATCAAACAACAGCAGTCAAAGACCATAAGGGTAAACAGCCTTACGCAGCTCATGCTTTATTTGTATTTTATTTTTATTTTAAAGCAGACAAATATTCATGTATATAATGACAGAATGAGATTTCCACCAAAATGGATTAATTGTACTAAAATACTAACAGTAAAAGGGTTAGGTTTCAATAACAAGAAAACATCTCTTCAGTGGTTCTCAGCGATGTTAGATAACTGAAGTATTATTGTAAATGCTAGCCCATTTTTTTATTGCCTCACATGACTTAAATTTAATAAGCTTTTCTATTATATTTAAAATTAAGAATTACTATTAATAGTTCATTTCAAAGAATTTCATTAAAAATATTTGAAATTTTATTAATGTCAGTTATAGCTTTCAGCAGTTTAAATGTGTCAAACACATCTTACTGCATATAAGCAATTTTAAGGCATTTCAAGTCTCAACATAAAAGAATACTTTAACCAAAAGAATTCTAAAATGTTTTTGTTTTTATTTATATTATATAAAATTTCAAGTATATTCTTACAAGCAATACCTCTAGATTTCTACCATTACAGTAGGAAAATAGTTAATGATATCCATTTCATTAATCTGTTATATGTCTATTCAGGAATTTAAGAATATCCTAATAAGAGAATAAATATTGCTCAAGAGAATCAGAAACTCGTAATTAATGAATATAACTTATAACAAGTTAAAAACTTTTTATTCAGTTACCTGAAAACATATTATAAATATAGGAGTATATTTATGTTTAAGCTTTTAAAAAATTAGCTTTATAAACATGATTTTATCAAGTTAGTTAGAGCCAATTCCAATCCATAAGGGATTTCAGGAGGCTTACACAGCTAGTTAGTATCACAATATTCTAATACTTAAAAATTAATTTTAATTATATCATTTTTTAAATATTTAAAGTACACATAATGAAAACATATGTAGTTTTCTTGTAAATACAATACTTTATGGAAATGTATAAGAGAGAAATTAACTCTATTTCTTTGTTCTATTTGTTATAATTTTTTTATTCATTAAACTTGTGACACAAAGTTTTAAAATTCTTTTTCTATGCTACTCAACAATTAGAACCAATTAGTATTGCTCCATTTCTAAGATACATCATGTAACAGTTCCTTGTCAAACCTCAAAGAATAAATTCCTGATTCAAAATCAATAAGTAAAATGTTCTTTTGTCAAGTAAAATGTTAAATAAGCAATCTGAATGGTTTGCCACACAGAGGACTATCTATTACAGAAGTTTTTAAAAGCTTTAGTCAAATTTTAGCATAATATACACACCCATAATACAATGTAAGAGAAAATGCTGAAAATGAATTGCAAACTTGAGACAGGCTTTTTTTTAACATGGCAGCCACTCTATAAACAGGAGTCCACGAAGGTGATCATTTACCTGCTTTTCCTCTCTCAACTCAACTAGTCCTCTCTAGCCATCCCGAGCTGGACAACTCCAGCTAAAACAAAACTGCTGAATGAGGAAAGAAACAGAAAACATGGGAAAGAGAAGGTTTGAAGGTCAACCAGACAGTAAGCAGAAGCAAGAATATTAGGAGAAGCAATCGGATATGTTAAGCACCAAGAAAGAACATATTCATAAAATTACGAGAATTTCTGTATATTCAATTACTACAACTATTTTATGTTTTGCATACAAACATCAACAATGCAGGGGCTGCTCTTGACCTTCACTCCTGGAATTTCTGACAGTATCTACATTATCCACTGTAGAATATAAAAAACAATTTATTTTAAATGCAGTAAAAAAAAAAAAAAAATCCAGGTAATATATTTAACACAAATACCTTAAACTTGTTTCCCACACTGATGAAGCTAAGTTTTCCTGCTTTTTGTTTAGTATCTTTGTTGTTATTTGTGGATGATTCAAACAATTCCCGTATAAACTTATCCCTGGATTCACATATTAAGGATTCAAGAGACATATGTAAAGCATCATTATTTTTTTCCACAAACTGGGTCTGAAAAACAAAGCAAACAGGAATGATTCGGTCCGTCTTGTGATAATATCCCTTAGTGCAGCACTGTCCAATAGAACTACAGGGGATGATAGAAATATTCTGTATCTGCATTGTCCAATACAGTCACCACCAGCCAATGTGGACACTGAGCACACAAAGTGGGGCAAATGTGTTGAGAAAATTTTAAATTTTATTTAATTTAAATTTAAATAGCCAGATGTGGTTAGAGGTTACCACATTGTACAACGCAGCTTCAACATCAAATGGTTTTCTCCTGGTAAAAGTTACTCACTGTTTCATAGCACACGGCCCCCGCGAAATGCCTGATAATGAAGCCTTCATCATCTCTGATGTTCCTATGAACTGCCAGCTTCGATTTTCTGGGAATCTAAAAAACAATCCAAAGGTCAGCTACTAAATTATCAAAAATATATCACATATTTTCCTTTAGAAAAGATTTGGGATGTGAAATACTTAAAATTATAAAGGAAATTTTCACACTTTATAGAATTATACTGTTTTTTAAACATCTACTAAGCCTTAAAACACCAGTGAAATTCAGCAAATATTTGGTCATACTCTCTTAGGGGAAAAAAATAAAAGAAGACCAAAAAAAAAAAAACCAACAACAACAACAACAAAAACCCCCACTATTTAGAAGCACATGCAAAACATAGTGGATATTTTATAAAGTTACCTGCCTAAGTCTAAAGTAGTGGTTCTTGACCTTGGCTGCTGAGTTAAAACCACCGAGGGAGCTTTTAAATCTCCCAAAGCCTACACCATTTACATCAAATGATTCCAAGGTGCAGCCAAGGTTGAAAAGCATTGTTCTAAAGAAACACCTGGTATCAGTGCAGAAACTTTTTTAAACCATACATCCTAACATGTTTACACAATGAGCCTGGATCGATTTGAAGGAAACTAAGTCATTACTGGTTGTACTATCTAATTATAATTTCTCATATTTGTATCATATTTAAAAGTTTCCAAAATGCTTTCACATAAAAGATCACATCTGACCCTCAAAATAACCTAAGGCTAAGAAACACAAAATCAGGCCGGCCGAGTGGCTCAGTAGTTAAGAGTTGGCTTGGGAGTGCAAGCTCTGAGCAG